TACTTTGTAGAGGAGAGGGGATCTCAGTGGGAAGAGCATGAAGGGCTTGGGGAGGGCAAATGGGGAAAGGTCAGGAAAGCTGGGGGGGGGCTCAGAGGAGAGCACTCCAGGCCGGGCAGCCTGGGGCCAGGCTCACCTGACCCTTCCCAGCTAATGGAGTCTCAGGCAGCCCTCTAAGGCTCATCTGCTGCGGTGTAGGTGCCTGGAGCCTTCTGCGGCCAGGGGGTGCAGTGGGAGAGCCCTCTGTCTGGCCTGGCCTGGCCATAGGAAGACCTGATTCAGATCCGGCCCAAGGCACTTCCTAGGTGTGTGGCCCTGGGCGAGTTATTCTGTCTGCCTCAGTTTTCTCAACTGTAAAGTGGGGGGATGTAATAGCCCCTCCTTCCTGGGGTTGTTGTGAGGATCAAATGAGATAATACTTATAAAGCGCTTAGTGCATAGTAGGTGCTATGTAAATTTTAGCTATTATTGTTTTCTGTCGCCATAATTACTTCCATTTACCGTTCACATTTTTCTTTGTTTTTAAGGAAAACAGCCTCTGAAACTTTGGACAGATTTTCTTTTAAGGTGGGTAGAAAAGACAGTGAATGGAGAGACAGCACAACGTCTTGCCTTGGAGCGAGGAAGGCCTGGGGTCACGTGTGACCTCTGACCCTGAGGTGCCCTGAGCAGGTCATTTCGCTAACCGCCCAGTGACCGCAAGACCAGCTCTCTGAGGCCCAGAGGAGAGGCTGACGTGTAGTGGTGGAGTGCGGCCCCCTCCCCGATGAAATCCTAGATAGGTCTGGACCAGAAGAGGGAAAGAACAGGAATTATTTTTCTGCCGGGGACTTGGCTGTCTAGTCAAGGGTCTGAGGGGCGAGTTCGAGTGTCTGATGCTGCGGACAGCTGCGCTCTCTTTGATCGGTGTTCTTCCAAATGAATCTCATTATTTTTTCTAATTCTATAAAATAATTTTTTGGCAGTTTGATTGGTGTGGCACTGAATAAGTACATTTATAGATGTTAGTGCAGAAGCGGGGAGGCCTTGCCCGCGGTAGCAACAAACTACAGCTTGTGTGGAGATGCGACGGCACAGCCTCAGATTAAACACTTGGACAGGTCATTTTCGTTCAGTATCAGAGCTCCGAGTTCACCATTTTTTCTTTTTTATTTAAACACATTTTTGTTAATATTTTTTGTTAAGGGATCACTAACATTTCCCCCATATTCCCTTCCCCTTCTTCCCTCAGAGAGACATTTTATAGAATTTTTTTAAAAAATTAAGAAAAGGAGGAATAAGTGGAAAAATATTGGCTCCAAGTGGGCCAGTACATTTTTAAAAATCTGAAGATGAGGAAGATTTGAGTTCGTGACTGTGCCTCTCAGAGGGAGTGTGGGGATGACGGCTTTGCGGGGGTCTTCTTTGGGGCTGTAATTTTTCAGCATTCGTTCTCTGTTGTTTTCTGGTGGCTGGCCTTCATTATGTATCACTGACTTGGCACGGACTGCTTACTTCATTCTCTTATCAGTTCACATAACTCTTCCCAGGCTTCTCTGTATTCATGACACCCTTCATTCCTTTGTTGTTTCAGTTGTGTCTGACTCATTCTGGCCCCATTTTGGGATTTTCTTGGCTAAACTGTTGGCCATTTCCTTCTCCAGCTCATTTTACCGATGAAGAAACTGAGGCAGACAGGGTGCAGTGACTTGCCCAGGGTCACACTGCTCCTAAGTGTCTGAGGCTGGATTTGAATTCAGGTCCTCCTGGCTCTATCCACTGTGCCACCCAGCTGCCCCAGTAATACTCCATTACCTTTGTTATCTCAGTTTGTTTAGCCATTCCCCATTCCCCGGCCAGCTATTTTGTTTTCCATTCTTCACTCCCACAAAAAGTGCTGCTGGAAATATTTTGATGTATATAGAGCCTTTCTTTTTATCAATGACCTGCTTGGAATATTTGCCCAGCAGTGACGTCTCCAAGGTCAGATGGTGTGGACCCGTGGGCCATTTTATTTGTACAGTTGTGAAGGTGTATAATATCCAACGGAGGAGTAGGGTTTTTTCCTGGAGGTCGTAGGGGGCCAATGAGGCTGAAGCAGGGCAGAGCTCAGAGGCCCAGAGAGCTCTTTGGGTCTAGTCCTTGGACCAAGTAACTGAACCTCGGGGAGGGGAAATGCGACGACCCGTCAGTTCGCGAGTCGAGCCCGTGTCATCTGGATGCCAAGTCCAGGGTTCTCTCCTCCACACCCCAGCTGTGTCTCTGGCTCCTACTGCCTGCTGGGTTATTCCTGGCTTCTGAAAAATGTGTTTTCAAATTCACTGTGAGATAACATCACCCAGTGTTTAAATCCTGGCCGGGAGACAGAAGCTCAGGTCCCATTTGTCATCCATTCGTCATCTCAGGGAATGACAGTGTAATAGGAACATGATAATTTTTTTAGTTCCCATCTGTAAAATGTAGATGAATATGAATATCCACACTTCTTAGGGACGGTGTAGACATTGACTAGAAAAGATATAAAGTTAGATAGAAAAACTGTACCCCATTTTATCATGTTATGATTTTCTACAGTGTTTAGTATGGAGTAAGTACTGGATAAAATGCTTTTTTCATTCATTTTCATTAATCCAGTATGGTTTATGTGGATAGATAACTGTGATTTTTAAAATTCCAAATCATGGAAAATAATATCTTCCGTCTATAGCCTCTCAGTAACTCTTATCCAGAAAGTTTGATTTGTAAGTATTAAAGGATTTTAGGGGTCAGGCCTAGAGAGTCCCTTAAAGATAGAAGACTAAATCCAAAATTGCTTTGGGACACTACGTTGGACTCCTGGGAGAGCCGGAGGAACCTTTTCTAAAAAGACGCTTTAAATTAAAGCTTCCTTTAATGACCAGATCCCAGCCCTTCTGTAACATGAGGCATAGTAAAGTCTGCTGCTCTCTATATTTCAGAAGCTTTTTGTCCCACGTACTTTGGAGATTCTGAGGATTTGCTTTGGCGACATTTATTAAAAGCGTCATTCTTAAATTTTTACAGGTCAGTGTTCTGTCTGGGTGATTGTAGGCACCAGGTGTGTGTCGATGACGTTGTTATTATATAACTAGGTGACACAGTGGATAGAGGTCCTGTGTCCAAATCCGGCCTCAGACACTCACTAGCTTAGCAAGTCAGTTAACCTCTGTCTGCCTCAGTTTTCTCATCTGTAAAATGAGGATAATGACTCCACCCACTTCCCAGGGTCCTTGTGGAGATCCAGTGAGGTAATATTTGTAAAACACTTAGCATATCCAGGGGCAACAGTCTCGTACACCCACGTGGTTTTCATTTCTTCTACTCATTCTCTATATTTTAAACGTCTTTCTTTCTCTGAATCTTCAGAGATTATGTGTATTCGGTATGATGGCGGGTTTTGCAATTTTTTGTTCTTAGATTTCTGTAGATCCATGTCACAGACCCAGGTGGTTGCGGACAACAGGCCTCTCTGTGCTGACGGTCAAGTCCTGGTGGAGTGATTTGGGGTTTGTATTTCGTAGAATGGGAGCTTGTTGACCGTTAGTTTATAGAGGATGACAGCCTTGTGGTGCAGAGTTCTGGCCTCATAGATGCAGAGTTTTCACCAGGTCAGTGCATGCTCTGCACTTATCAGTCAGTTCAAGGAACAAAGGTTATTTAACTTTTTTGGAATTTCTGGGAACGGTGCCGTTATCCTGATCCTGCCAGCACCAGTGTGTAAACAGATTTGCGAGGTTTGCCCATGGGGGGGGTATTGCTCCTGGAGGGGCTGTTAATTCCACGTTTTTCAGTTCTGTGAGACCAAGTGTTTTTGTACATTTTAAACCTATTTTTGTATGTTCCGAGAACACCTATCTCCTCTCTATCCTTGCTGTTATTGTCCTATTCTGAGGACTTTGTGCTTGGATTAGATTTTTTTTGTTTGTTTGTTTTTTGCTTTTTGGTGAGGCTATCGGGATTAAGTGATTTGCCCACTGTGTGAAGGGTCACACAGCAAGTAAGTGTCAAGTGCCTGAGGCCGCATTTGAACTCAGGTCCTCCTGACTCCAAGGCCAGAGCTCTGTCCATTGTGCCACCTAGCTGCCCCTGAGCTTGGATTAGTTTTGAATAGACCCTGTTTTCATACTCCTTCAGGGCTAGATAGTGACTTGATTTATGTTTATAACAGCGGAGATCTTGAGTTTGGCCTTTTGGCCCTTTTAAGATCCAGGATGAGAGCTGAGTCAGTGGCCAAGAAGAACCTTTGGAATTGTTTAGATCAGGGACCCTCTAGGTCCTCAAGTGGGGCCCTTTGACCAAATCCAAACTTAACAGAACAAATCCTCTTAAGAAAAGGATTTGTTCTGTAAAACCTGGGGCTGCCCCCAAGGACCACATGTGGCCTGGAGGGGTGGGCAGGTTCCCCATCCCTGGTTTAGATGGTGTGAAACTGATTAGAAGTCAGAGAAGAGGGTGGTCCTCTCCCTGTCTGTCTCCACCCCTGGCCACGCCCCTCAAGGTTAGAATTGCTGTTTTTTGGGGCAGGAAGTGATGAAAACAGATGCCTGTGTGGTAATCGAGCCTGCCCCCAACGCTGGCCTGCAACAGACATGTTCAAGCCAGTGTGTTGAAGCAAGCATCTTGTATTTCTAAGGCCGGGCTACTGATGGAAAAACCGGATTTACCCGGAGAAGCTTAGGTGTCTGCTCTGTCTGTAATGAATCTCTCCTCCGCTTCCATCTGTCCACAACTGGTATTATTCTTATCTGTGGACATGTTTATCCTGCGCCCCTCAGGTAAGATTGAAACTGCCACGAGGTCAGTGGCAATAAAACTATATAATATAAATAAAATGAAAATATGAAAAATAAGGCCCCCTCCTGCCCCCTCAATTATTATCTTTTTACAAATTCCAAACTTCCACCAAAGAAAACAGTCATTTCCATATGCAAAGTTAAACAGCAGAAGGATTGTACATGAAATGTAGATTTATGTACATCTCACTTTTCTTTTGAAGTATACGAGAGGTTCACCTGGTAGTTTTCAAAACTGTCCTGCTTGTCGATGCTTCTCTCTTGCTGTCTCTCTCTGTTCTTTTCTGGGCATCTTTTATAAAGATCCCTAAATGTCCTTAAAAAAAAACAAAAAAACAAAACATTGCTACCCTATTTGTATCTTTCCCTGTTCGTTAGAAGAAAAGAAAAAGAAAAACAAAGCCTTTGTAACAAATAGGGCAGGGACTTGGCCAGGTTTTGTCTTTGTATTCCGGAGGGCTTGGCACATACTAAATTAAAGATAAATATTGAATACATACTTCATGCCTTGAATGAATGAATGAGTGGTCAAATGAAGAAATATTGGCCTCTGCTATGTTTTAGACTCTCAGGGAACTGCTTTCTGATAAAGTGATGCTAGGTCTTTTTTTTGTTTTTTTAAATAAAATTTTATAGGTATCTTGTGAGTTTTTTTAATACCACCAAAATTTTCCCCAGTATCCCGTTCCTGTTCTAGGTAGCCACCCCATATAAAAAATAATATTTTTAAAGAAAAAAAAAGAAAATGAAGATAATAGAAATCAGTGAAACTGATAAGTACATCATATTCACCTGAAAACAAGGGCAATGTACAACATTCATGGACTTTCCAGCTTGGGGTGGGGGAGGGAATATCTCCTCCCCTTTGCTTGTTCTTTGTAATTTTGCAGCATTCCCTTTGGATTTTCTTTTGTGAGTCTGTACATTGTAGTCATTTGTATGTACTATTTTCTTGGCTTTGCTTACTTCACTCTGCATCAGTTGGTGTAAATCTTTCCAGCCTTCTCTGCACTCTTCATTTACCGCTTCTTACAACTCAGTAATATTCCATCACATTCATGGACCACAATTTGTCCAGCCATTCCCCAGTCGAGGGGCATCTGTTTAGTTAACAATTCTTTGCTCTCACAAAAAGTGCTGCTATATGTGTATTCGAACTTTCTTCTTCCCAGGGTCCTCATTAGGATATGTTGAGTAGTGGAACCTCTGGGTCAAAGGGTGTCTGTATTTTAATCACTTTATTTGCATAATGGGCTACTTGGTACTGTGGATAGATTACTTAAACTTAGAATCAGGAAGACCTGAATTTAAATTTGAACTCAGATGCTTACAGGCTGTGTGGCTTTGCAGGCCACTTAATCTCTGCCTGCCTCAGTTTCCTCATCTATAAAATGGTGATAATAATAATATCTAACTTTTAGGATCGTTATGAGGATCAGGTGAGATGATTTAAGTAAAATGTTTTGTAAAATAATTCCAAATTATTTCCCCAGATGACTGAAATGATTCATAGCTCTACCAACAATGCACCAGTGTACCTATCTTTCCACAGCCCCCTACTATATAAACTGTTCCCATTTTATTATTTTTGCCAATTTCTAGGGTGTAAGGTGAAACCTCAGGGTTGTTTTGATTTGCATTTTTCTTATTATTAGTGATTGTGAGCATTTTTTCATGTGACTATTAATAATTTGTGATTCTTTTGGGAAGAATTTGTTAATATCCTTTGACTAGTTTTCTAATGGGGAATGGCTTTGCCCTGTTGGACACCAGGAAAGGCAGAAAACAAGCATTTATTAAGTGCCCTGCACTGCGCTAAATGCTCCACAAAGCTTTGAAGCTTTCCAAAGATAATCTCATTGGATTCTCACAAGCCATTATCAGAGAAGTTTAATACAAAAAAGATGTTTCCCCTTTTTTATCCTAGGCGTGCATTAGTTTTGTTTGTGCAGAAGCTTTTCAGTTTCATGTAATCAGTTACCTATTTTATCTGGGGTGATTGCCTCTCTCCCTTGTTTGGTTACGAATATACCCCCTCCCACCCGTGTGAAAGGTACTCGATCTTTTCCTCTTTTAATTTTTTTTGTGGTTTGAGCTTTAATATTAAAGTCATGTATTTATTTAGAATGTGTTGTGGCCTGTGGTGAAAGGTGTTGGTCTGAGCCTAATTTCTGCCAGAATTGTTTCCAGTTTTCCCAGAAATTTTAATCAGATTGGGCATTTTTTCCTTAATAATTGACATTGCTCAGTTTATCAAGCACTTGAGTTCCATTATTTCCGATATTCCCTTGTGCGCGCGTGCTCTCTCTCTCTCTCTCTCTTTCTCTCTCTCCCTCCCTCCCTCCCTCTCCCTCTCCCCACTCCTCTCCTTCCTCTTCTCTTCCCGCCTCCCCCTCCCCCTCCCCCTCCCCCTAGCACTTAAAGCATGCCAGGCCCCAATGTAGATGTTACCTTAGCTGGTGTCCAAAGGTTGCTCTGGCCAGAAGCCCTCATCGCCCAGTAGCCAGCTTAGTGATGAGCCTCCTGGAATGTAGCTGGTCCTTGTGTGAGAAATCTGGAGTCTGCCTGGGTGCTTGTGCATGAAACCTGTCCGACTTGGTGGCATCTGCCAGGTCAGGTCAGTTCAGCAGACACTAAGTGCCTAGCCTACTGCTAGTGGAGAAGGAATCCCTGCCCTCCTGGAGCTTGCATTCTTCCCCATGGGGTGGAGCAGGGCCTAAGGCAAGTACAGGTACAGATAAATGCACAGAGGGGGTGGGGGCTGGGGTATGGAATCAGGAAGGGCTCAGGTAGGATGGGGGCATCTGAGCTGTGCTCTGATGGGAACCAAGGACTGATTCCCCACTCTTAACAACAACAGCGATAAGGATAGCCAACATTTACGTTTAAGATTTGCAAAGGACTTAACAAATAATCTCATTTGGGAGGCAAGTGCTATTATTATCTTCTTTTTATAGATGAGGAAATTGAGGCAGACAGAAGTGAAATGACTTGTTCAGGGTCAGAGGTAGGATTTGAACTCACGTCTTCCTGACTCCAGGCCCGGTGCTCTGGTCACGGTGGCGCCTCCTGACTGCTGCCTAGACTTTCTGGCAGCACAGCTATTAAGAGACCGGGTTCAGCTACACACTCTGCAACGGTTTTAGAGGACATAACTGTCGGACAGAACTGTCGGGGGGAGCGTCCTATATTTTGTAAACAATCAGGTCACGTGTTATTTGCGAAAAGTTTCACTTTCCACACGTGTCCATGTGTGTCTGCTACCTTCTCTCCGTCCGGTGCAGACGTTGCCTGGTTCTGTCGGGGTAATCATTAAATCAACAATTCCGATGCTCTTGAAGCGGATTTTGACCTTTGTCACTATAGCTTACACATGCTCAGGTGTTTCACAGAAATGTCACAAGGAAGCTGTGCTTTGCGGAAGCATGTGGTGGGGCTGTTTTTAACAGTGTGTAATTCCTGTGGTCATTTAACAAGCGATGAACTCTGCCTGGTGGACCGAGAAGTCCCTGGGAGCGAGTTTTCAGAAGGAACCAGGGCTCGCAGCAGCTGACGAGCAAGCCGCCGGGGTCCCTGGCTTCGTGCCCTCTGGTCGCAGAGGCTCTGGTGGGCACGGCGACATCCCCGAGGACGGTGTGTGTAAGAATGCTTGAACCCCAGTGGATCCTTCAGTGAAGAGAAGTCTTGCCTTATCAAATCTCCATCCAGGTGATTACGGCTCAACCCATGTACAACCCAGGGACCTCATTAGGCCTGATGGTTTCAGCTGCTGTAGAGTCATGGCCAGAATGCAGAAACTTTCGAGAAGTCCACCAGTCCAGTTTGACAGATGAGGAAGCCGGGTGGTGTAATGGAGAGGCCTGGGTTCGAATCTAGCCCCTGGCACTTAGGCCAGCCCTGTAAGCTGGGGGCATCACAAGATCTCAGAGGTGGGAGTTAGGCAGTTTAACCCGTAATAGACAAATCATCCCTGTGCAGCTCCCTCGACCAAGGTTCCGTCCTCAGCCAGAGCGGAAAGGGCTCTGGATTTGGATTTGGGCACGTCGCTGCACCTCTGGCTCTCTGGGCCTCAGTTTTGGGTGTTTTGTTCAGTCGTTTCAGTTGTGGCCAATTCTCTGTGACCCCACTTGGGCTGTTCTTGGCAGAGACGCTGGAGCGGCTGGCCATTTCCTTCTCGAGCTCATTTGACAGATGAGGAAACTGAGGCAAACAGGGTGCAGTGACTTGCCCAGGGTCACACTGCTCATACGTGTCTGAGGCTGCATTTGAACTCAGGAAGAGGAGTCTTCCCAACTCCAGGCACTGTGCCACCTCTCTGCCCCAACAAAAACTGGTGCTGTTGTTGATATTTACTAGCTGTGTGACCTTGGACAAGTCCCTTCCCTTCTCTGGTCCTCAGTTTCCTTGTTGGCATGATGAGGGCGTTGGCCCGGATGGCCGGCCCCAGAGGTGCCTTTGGTCTCAAAGCTGTCATCTGAAGTCATTGACCCCTCCGTGCTCCAGCCATTTTCTGCAGGAGAGATGCTGGAGGAAGGCCTTCACCGGGTTCAGAGCAAGGGTCATTGGTCTGTCGTTATCCTCATCACCAACGAGGAAGTGGAGGCCGCTCGCTGATGGCTCCCCAGGGACGCCGACAGGGAGTCGGGTCACTGGCGTTGTGGTCGTTTCTTCCCTCTCTTTGCCCGTCCCCGTGGCTGCCCCCACTCCTTCCGTCCTGAATGAGGACTCGGGCTCCAAGCCAGCCGGGGAGAGGGGCCGAAGGTGGGAGGGCGGAGGTCGGTGGCCGGCCAGATGAGAGCCGGCAACCTGGAGCTCTCGGCTCGGGTTCCTCAACTGACTCATTTGGGATGCTTTCACATTTGCCTGCTTTTCAGAATAAGAGGTGGGAGAAAAATGTCCCAGTGTTGAATCTATTTTTTTATATTAAGATTAGTCAAAGGATGCTGAGTGGTTTTCGTTTTCTCTCCTCAGTCAGTGGTGCCTCCTCTCCCCTCCCCCAAATTTGCCTGGCTTAATAATGCGAATCACTGTCGATTCCAGTAATGGTTGTGGTGGCAATGCACAGCAGGGCTCTTTGCACATCTCCCATGGGATCGCCCATTGGATTACTCTTCGTTTGTGTCATGTGTGCTGATCTGATCTCCTTACCGGAGTGGAAGGTCCTTTCTGACTGTGCCAGCCTTCTTCTCTGTTATGTCCCCCAGCACCTCGCACAGGGCTCTGTAAATATTCCCTTCCTGATTGATTTAATGCACGCGCACACACACACACACACACACACACGCACACACACACACACGCACACACTCACTCACACACACTCATGCACACATATGCGCGCGCGCGCACACACACACACACACACACACACTCGCACGCTCCCTCTCCTTTTCCTCTCCTCTCCTCTCTCACCCACTGTCTTGGGTTGGGGGAATGCAGCAGGCTTATGGAGTTGATTTGGAATGAGTTGACCTGGGTTAAAATCCAGGCCACCTGTGTGATCTCAGACAAATCACTCCACATCTCTGTTCCTCATTTCCATGTCTTTAAGATGAGGGAAATGGACCAGGTCATAGAATCAGTGGATTTCCAAACTGGAAGGGATGTTAGTAACTTAGGCGTCCAGCCTGAAACTCCTGGAGAGTGTGTCTGACGAGTGGTCAGTCGGCTGGCCGGTCACCCTGCCTCTGTCTGAAGAGCTCCGTGGAAGGGAAATCTATTTCCTCCCTCTCCAAGGCAGCCTGTTCTGTGTTAGAGTGACTCACCTGTTACGCAGCCTAAATCCGCCTCAGTTGTCCTCCCAGCCCCGCCTCGGTCCAAGCTGGGGACAAACAGAAGAGGACTCCTGTCTCTTCCAACGACAGCCCTTCACACGCTTGGCCGCCATCTTGTCTCCCTCTCCCGGCTGCACATCCCCACTCCCTTCACTCAGTACCCCATCACCTGTATCTCCACCTTCCTGTCTAATACAAAATCTCTTCATGTAGCACTAATTAGCTTTGAGTACACATTTTTTTTTTTTAGTCAGTCTTAGTTCTCTCAGAAGCACAGTAATCAGCTGTTTTAGCGTGGCCTTGCACATTGAAGTACTGGTGGAGAAGCCACGTGCTGGCTAATTTACTGGTCAGTGATGGATGCTGGTCAAACCATTCTGACGGTGTGCCAGTGGTGGCTCCACAGACAGAACCCCCCCCCCCCCCCACCAACCCCACTCTGGGGATTTCTGCCCACGCCATCAGCTACGTTGGTCCCAATGTAGTGGTGGAGAAGCGCCTGGTGTGGGGGGCCGCCTCCCCATCTGGGCAAGAAGTATCCACACCAGACTTGGGTAAACATTTTTCATCTCTTGTTCACAAAGGGAAGCCGGGCGTCACCTGGCTGGAGGCACTTTTCATTTCAAGGGTGAGTATAATCTTGGCATTCTCTGCACAAAATCCATATGAGAGATGGTAAAAGAAAAAAAAAATCAGCAGGCCATAACATCGGTCTAGCTCTGTTGAGTAATTCTTATAATAGAACAAAAGAAAGGAAACTCCCAGATGTGAAAGGACAACTTTGCCCTCCAGAGCCTGGGAAGGCTGCCTGTCTAGCTCCTTGAACTCAGTCCACAGGTCCTGACTACTGATAGTAGTAGTAGCAGTAGCAGTAGTAGTAGCAGTAACAGCAGTAGTACTGATAGTAGTAGTAGCAGCAGTAGTACTGATAGTAATAGTAGCAGCAGCAGTACTTATAGTAGTAGTAATAGTAGTAGTAGCAGCAGCAGCAGTAGTAGTAGTAGCAGTAGTAGTAGCAGCAGTACTTATACTAGTAGTAATAGTAGTAGTAGCAGCGACAGTACTTATAGCAGTAGTAGTAGTAGAAGCAGCAGCAGCAGTACTT